TATATATATATATATACGACGAAATTTTGAAAATATTTGTTGTAATGATGCTGGTAGTACTGCTAACTTTTTTGATTTGGATATAGTTTTGGACAACGAACCCACTATCTTTGTAAGATCTCAAACTTGAAATACTCATTCAACAGAACTATTTCAGTAGCGTTAGTGTCAGGGTACTCATAGGTTAAACCCGAATTTTACACAATAACATTCCCACTAATTTTATCAAACGTCTTTTGATCTGATTTAATATTTAAGTTTAATATCTCTTTTTGGGATTTCCACTGTCCGCAAATTTCTAAACTTTAACCACCACTTATACTCTTTTATGAAGCACCATCTTCAAACCATTAGTTTGGGAAGACGGCTGTTGATGAGCTTGTGTATGTGAACGTGGACTTGAGTTTAGTTTGGTAATGCACTGATTACGGATTAAAAAAATTTTTTTATTATTTTCCTTATCTTTGAGTTCTCATGCTTTCATTGCATGGGTAGGGCTCAGCCAAAAGCAACACACCAATAACCATATATATACCTTGTAATTAAGCTTTTGAAGCCAAAGTTTTACGCAAATTATTGATGTAGATATTTGAATAGATATTTAGAATGTTGATAGCATTAATGCAAAAAGATTAGACTGGTCGACTAGGTACGGATAGATAAAATCAATAATTAAAAATGTGCTATTTCAAATATTTATTTATTGTTGCGCATACATATTCATGCTTGTTTGCTTATTGCAAGCTATGATTTGTAATAGGATCAAGTCGAATTGAACAACATGAAGCACAAGTTAGAGAAGATCATTATGAAGACACATTGATTGCAGCACGGGCGTTCTTCTTCTTCTTTTCATTGGCACGACGGCCAAGGATGGGTTTTGGCCTTCTCTCCAAGCCTATGCTGAGACATTCTTCCCTTAGCCAAGGTTCGCCAGTTTATTATCTTTAAAAACACGTACGTTACTGGTTTGAATCCAGTCGTATTCCGTCCTGTATACGACATAAAATTGTGCTTCTCCATCAAGTGTTATCTGTTTTTCAGAGTGACAAGGGCTTGCAAGCCGTAATTTGCAAGGATCACACAAGCCTGTATATATATGTGAAGGAATAAATAAATAAACATAAATAGATACATCCAGGGTGGTGGTGTGATTCGAAAATGCTACTCCCGTTGCGCCATTATAAATTGTTTGAACAGCTTGATGTGCTACATTTTCTTTGCTGAACTAGTTCAACCTTGCCCAGATATGTGTATCTTTATAAATATAAAATTTTTTAGTTGCAAAAGTTGATAGATGTTAGCTTATATCTTACATTGAAATGAAAACAATTAACCGAGCTAAACGTTAACAAGCATTTACTAAAAGGAAAGAAAACGTAATAACTATCTAACTGAACATTTTTACGAAATTTAAAATTCTAGCATTGTTAAAATTACCAACTGTTTAGGGAAGATTACAATTTTTTGCTGCATTTACTACCACACAGCACAGTAATAAAACCACATTCAACTGTTAATTTTATCAAAATTCCCAACTGATGCGGTAGGGTAGAAATTACCGTAATTGTTGGTATTCTCGTAGAGTGAAAATCATAACAAATTTTACAATAGTCAAGTAGTTTAGGCCATATTTTTTTTCTCCATGATCATTCATACTGTTCAATTTTACGCCAATTTTTTTATGAAAGTAAAAAAAAAAAAAAAGTTTGACAAATGATAATTCAAACAATGTATATGTTTCTTGGACTAAAAGCCCCTTTAAATATTATAGGTTTATTTGCTTTGTAGGGAAAAAAACTTAGTTTTTGAAGTCTGTGATTAATTTTAAGTGTGACATTGGCAATGAGTTAAAAAGTGAAAAAGTTAATAACATCAAACTCTGTTTTAAAAAATCTTAAATATTTTTTCTTCTTCAAAGGGATTCTAACATTATTTCTAACCCGTTTCGACAGAAAAAAATATATCAGCGTTGCCAGGTTCCTTTTCCGAAACCAATAAGATTAAGTTGTGACAGGTGCTGTCACATCGTTTACCAAGATATTGAGATAGACGATTTGGATAAAAAAAATATTTTTGAATGGGGATTATTTAGGGATAAAAAGAAAACTGCCCTAGCTTTTTATTGATAAATCTCTAACTAAAATCTTGCTAATCAAAAAAATAGCCTAGTTTATTTTGAACAATTACGAATCGGAAATTATTCATTGTTACAATGTCATTATAAGGAAAATTAAACGGTTTTTATTACACAGTGATTATATATATATATATATATATATATATATATATATGAA